GTGATTCCAGATAAAAGGGATATTTAAAATGACCTTAATGCACATGCCTGTACTGTAGGAGTAGAAATGTCCAGTTCAGAAAACAATGACAAGCAATGTAAATATCCTAGTTCATAATTGTTAAGGAACTTACCCATTGGAAATAGTGCTAAAAGTAAAACACAAAAGAAAGATCAGTGAGCATTTTCCAACTTAAAGAGAACCCACTTTCCAATAATATTCTTTTTAGGTTAATCCAGAAATAGAATCTACATGGAAGACAAATTATCTTCAGGACTGTTACAGGCCAATGTTTCCTATTCTACTCTGCAGAGAGGGTAATCTTTAATCCTTGGGATTATAGGTGTGAGCCACTGGTGCCCTGCTCCCTGAACTTTTTTGTTGAAGGCTAGCACTCTGCCGCTTGAGCTATATCTCCACTTCCAGCATTTTTGAAGATTAATTGGAGGTAAGAATGTCTCTACCTTTCCTGCCCTGTCTGGCTTTGAACTGAGATCCTTAGATCTCAGTCTCCTGAGTAGCTAGGATTCCACAGGCATGAACCACTGCTCTTGACTTACATCCTACCTTTTTGTCTTTTCTTGTTGTTGGTCATGGGGCTTGAACTTAGGGTCTAGGTGCTGTTTCTGAGCTCTTTTTGCAAGACCAGAGCTCTACGGCTTTGAGCCACAGCACCTTCTGTTTTATTTGGAGATAAGGGTCTTATGGACTTTGCTGTCCGGGCTGGCTTTGCACCATGATCCTTACATCTCAGCTTCCTGAGTAGCTAGGACTACACACTACATAAAATTATTTTATGAGTCAAAATTTTAACCTATTCTAATTAGTTTGAAAAATGTCAAAATCATCATGTCTTGGTACTTAGTTGCTGTCAAATCTCTGAGCGTTTTCTTTCTTTCTTTTTTTTGATCCGGTCATGGGGCCTGAACTCTGGGCTGGGCGCTGTCCCTCAGCTCTTCAGCTCAAGGCTAGCAGTGCTCTACCACTTGAGCCACAGCACCACTTCCAGCTTTTTCTGCTTATATGGTGCTGAAGAAGAACCCAGGGCCTCATGCATGCAAAGCAAGTACTCTACCACTGAGCCACCTTCTCAGCCCCTAGCATTTTCTTTTTAAATGTAAAGTTCCAATTGCCAACTAGTCATTTTGGTTGACTAATTGGTGATTTCTGCTATTGATGATTATTGGTGATACAGAGCTAAGAACCAAGGGAAAGCAATTATACTTTGTTACACAAGAAAAATAGGTGAAGAGGGAATCAAAACCAAAATGAGAGGAAATCATTTAAGAAATGCTGACTACTAAGCTGGGCGCCAGTGGCTCGTGCCTGTAATCCTAGCTACTCAGGAGGTTGAGATCTGAGGATCATGGTTCAAAGCCAGCCCAGGCAGGAAAAGTCCGTGAGACTCTTATCTCCAAT